CCCCAAAACCCCAAAACCCCAAAACCCCAAAACCCCTAAAATAAAATCTTGATTGAATAATAAATGGAAGGATTGATACAATATATCAACTTTTGATACCAAAGCTTTGTTGATAACCAGTTTCCACACGATGTTTATGTAGTCATGGGCAACTATTCTGGAGACTTAGACTCCACGATCGGAGCAGTTCTTCTGAGCTACTTTCTCACTTTGAAATATCATGCTGCAAACAATTACACCGAAGAAGTAAAAGAAGCTGCCAGAGTTTATGTTCCATGACTTGGATACGAGAAGGATCATCTTCGGTTCAAGCTTGACGTGATCGAGCATTTGAAACAAACAAATTTTCCGACAGACTCTGAAGACCAGTTCAAACTCATCAGCATATTCGATATGGATTTGAGTCGTCTGCTTGAAGACGATAGACTGCATTTGATTCTTTACGACCACAACCAACTGCAGATGCAAGATTTCCCTTGCGATAGTTCTGAAGATTTTGAGAGGTTCGAAAGAAGAGTGGTTGGGATTTACGATCACCATGTTGACCAACATGCATATGATGATCAACTTGAGTTTAATTAAGATCGAACCCACAGGATCTGCGACTAGGTATTTTGATCGTTGGATTTATAGCTTGATTGTGAAGGACATTCTTGAATGGGAAAAGCATAACGAAAAAATTATCCAGCCTGATCTTGTCAAATTTATTCTTGCCCCAATCATTTTAGACTGCAAATTTAGCATTAAAAAGAAAAAGGTAGCCCAGATCTCTCACTCCTAGATGAAACAAAACCCAGTAATTTATGACTCAAAGATCCTCCTCAAGCTGCTTAAAATTGGAGAGGATGAGGACATCAAGCAAAAGTATTTCAAAAATCTCAAGAGCATACGCAAAGACCCTGAGTTACTGTGAGCTCTCGGATTGCAGGGGCTGCTTGTCAGAGACTACAAGAGTTTTGAATTTGTGGGTAAGCGCTTATCTGACTTTTAGACGAAGATAATGATAAGTTTACGTATGGAATGTCTACTCAGAAGATTAGCTTGGGTTCGATTCTTGATCACTTGTTTAAGTAAGTCATAATTTTGATTATAAATTCTGGCAGAGTATTCAATCACAAATTAACAAAATATAGCATAGGAAGAGATAGTTGTGAAACAGATTTGATGCAACTTCCTGATGAATTAATTGAAGAATCTTTAGCAATAATGGAGAGAAAATAACCTCTCACTCTTCATTTTAAAAACTCCAGAAGACTCCTTTACCACATTTTCATGCTTTTCAACCTCATCAGAACTCTTATCTAAAATCTACCATTGGTTTATGGAACAAGGTAACCCCACAACTTAACCCCTAGCCCCCACCTCCGAATTCCCTCACTACAAAGAAATCCACCACACTCTCTTCACCTTCCCCGGAGGCTGCTCACGAAAACAACTTCAGCCCATCCTCCAAAACATCCTCAAAGACACCCTCCTCAAAGACCTAAACCTCTAACCCCACACAAAAAATTCAACACTTCCTTTGAAAACCGGGGTTTTGGGGTTTTGGGGTTTTGGGGTTTTGGGG